ATTGAACTGGATTGTGAGCTATATTGATGGCTGCCTTGTTGTCACAGTATAGCCTCATCGAATCTGTTTGATGAATCCCCAAATCCCTCAAAAATAATCTCATCCATAATAGCTCACACACACCCTGAGCCATAGCTCTGAATTCAGCCTCTGCACTGGACCGCGCAACTACATTTTGTTTCTTGCTTCTCCAAGTAACTAGATTTCCTCTAACAAAGGTACAATAGCCAGAGATTGATCGTTTATCAGTGACTGATCTAGCCCAATCTGCATCTATATATGCCTCCACACTAAGATGACCATGTTTTGAGGAAGACTTCAAGTACCTCAAAATCCGCATAACGGCCTCTAAGTGAATTGCACGTGGAGCATGCATAAACTGACTAACAATACTCACTGCAATAGCAATGTCAGGTCGCGAATGAGATAAGTAAATTAGCTTACCCACTAGCTTCTGGTGCCTCACTAAGCTTCGGTCCAGGCTCTAGTGGTGTATCACAAGCTTCACTGCCAAGCATCATTCTAGTTTCCTTTAGCAAATCAAGCACATACTTTCTTTGATATATGAAGATGCCATCTATGGACCGAGCAATCTCAATCCCTAGAAAGTACTTCAAGCTGCCTAGGTCTTTGATTTTAAACTCATTGGTCAAATACTCCTTTAACCGAGGAACCTTCTCAACATCTTCCCTTGTGAGTACAATGTCATCTACATAGACAATAAGAGCTGTCGTCTTTCCATGTGAGGAGTGTTTCACGAACAAAGTATGATTAGCTTGATTCTGTTTGAAACCACATTGCAGCATAGCCTAAGTAAATCTCTCAAACCAAGCCTTAGGAGACTGTTTAAGTCCATAAAGTGACTTGCGTAGTCGGCACACTTTTCCTTTGGTTTTAACATCCTCAAAGCCTAGGGGAATGTCCATGTACACTTCTTCTTCCAAATCACCATGGAGGAAAGCATGCTTTACATCAAATTGATGGAGAGGCCAGTCAAGATTAGAGGCAAGGGAGAGGACTCTGACAAAGTTCATCTTAGCAACAGATACAAATGTCTCCTGGTAATCTACTTCATAAGTTTACGTAAAGCCCTTGGTCACCAATCTTGCCTTATTACGTTCAATTGAACCATCGGCTTTGTGTTTCACAGTGTACACCCACTTACATCCAACAGGTCATTTGTCCTTAGGTAACTCAGCCAATTCCCAAGTGCCATGTTTTGCAAGAGCTCGCATTTCCTCTATCATGGCATGCTTTCACTTAGGAGTAGAAATAGCATCCTGAAAATTAGAAGGAAGACTCACAAAAGAAACTTTAGACAAGAAAGCTTTATAGGAAGAAGACAGATTAGTATAGGAGACAAAATGAGAAATAGGATGCTGAGTGCAAAACCTCGAGGTTCATCAGCAGAAGAGGATTCTGGACACTAATTAGAAGGAGAAGATAGCAGTGGAGATTCTAAACTGGTCTCTTTTATCCAAGTAACTTGTTTTCTATCTGTGTCCCTGACATAAACTTTGCTATCTTTCACTATGGATTCAGATTCAGACTCAACAGTCGCAATAGCTGAGACACCTTTAACATCTTGCTCAATTACTGATGGTAGTGATACAGGAATCGCTTTACACCAAGGCTCCCCCTGAAAGAATGACTGAGACACCGGTGAGGACAGGAAGTAGGATAGAGACTCAAAGAAAGACACATCCATAGAGACAAACCATTTCTGAGAGGGTGGATGATAACACTTGTAACCTTTTTGGGTGGTAGAGTAACCCAGGAAGACATACCGAAGGGACTTAGGATCCAACTTACCACATGTAGGAGAATGGTTGTGAAAAAAGCACACACACCCAAAGGTTTTGGGAGGAATGAAGAAACTAGAAGAGGAGTTTGTTTGTTGAGAACTTGGGTAGGCAGACAATTGATGAGGAAGGCTGCAGTGAGAATAGCTTTCCCCCAATATGATCGAGGAACACGCATTTCAAAGGACAGACGACGTGCAATATCAAGAAGATGGCGATTTTTACGCTCGGCAACACCATTCTGTTGAGGGGTTTTGGTACAAGAAGTTTGGTGAATAATACCATGAGTGGCAAAATAGCTGGCAAGGCCAGAGTCAATGTATTCTTCCCCATTATCAGAATGTAGAATTTTGACAACCGCCCCAAACCGAGCGCAAATCATTGTATGAAAATTTTGAAACATAGAAAAAACCTCACATTTGTCCTTCATAAGATATACCCAGATGGTCCTAGAACAATCATCAATAAAGGTAACAAACCATCTTTGACCCTTCAAAGACATAAAACGAGAGGGACCCCATACATCAGAATGAATCAATGAAAAAGGGAATAAACTTTTATTAATAGAAGGAGCAAAAAAAGTTTGGTGTTGTTTTCCAAATTGACACGACTCAGTGAAACTCAGAAACATTGGTTGTGTTTGGTACAGCTTTTGAATCATGATTCTACCTTTTAGTTTGAGTGCGGTGTTTGTTTACAATTTTCAAAAATCATTTCCACACCTGCGTTTGAAATTCGTGTACCCGGATGTCTCTCCGGCCGGTTGACCGGAACAATGTTCATGATTTTATTTTTTTTTGCACTTGTTATTTTTATATTTTAAATAAAAAATATTTTCAAAATTTTTAATTTTTTTTAATGAGTTTTGAATAGAATTTTGGGTTGTGTTTGGTTATGAGTTGTAAGTTTTTGTATAAAAAATTATGTCACATCACTCAATTCAAAAACTCTTTTCAAAACTCATTCACCAAACAAATTTTCTACACTCAAATCATAATTCCAAAACTCACAAACTCAAAATACAACTCATATTCTCAAATCATATTTAGAAAATTCTACCAAACGCAACCATTATTTTTCAAAGCAATTGAAGGAAAAAGATGCTGAAGTAACAAAAAAGATAGATACCCAAGACGACGGTGCCACGACCATAGGTCTTTCTTAGTAGATGGTAACTGAATGGAGGAATGAGCTAACTTTTCTGCTTGATCCAGGATATACAGACCATTTGTGTTTCTACTACTGCCAATCATCTTCCTCGTGATAAGGTTCTGAAACAGACAATGATCAACAAAAAAAGTCACACTATAATTCAAGTCCCGAGTAATACGACTCAAAGACAAAAGATTAACCATAAAATTGGGAACATGTAGTACAGAAGACAAAGGAAGGGAAGCAGTGGCATGAATTAAACCTTTCCCAGACACGGAAGAAATTGTACCGTTAGCAATTCGAACTTTATCCTGTCCTGAAGAAGGGGTATATGCTGAGAGCAAATCAAAAGACTCAGACATATGGTCGGAAGCACCAGAATCAATAATCCAAGGCAATGTTTGATGAGATAAGAAAGTACTTGTAGAAGAAGCTAAATTACCTGAATGGACAAAGTTACCTGAAGATGAACTAGATGTCCGACGGTCGAGCAAGTGGCGAAGAGTAACCTCTAGTTCAGAAGTAGAAAAACCAGAGATATCAACGGAAGAAACAACCGGAGTTGGGGGATGTGGCTTAACTATATCAGAATGATGGGCTCAGGCATTGGGCTTGCGGCCTCTAGACTGACCGGAGCGACCCTCACGAAAACCAGAACGATCTCCACGACCCCCAGATGACGGTCCATGCAACTTCCAACAAGTCTCACGGGTGTGGCAAGGGCGACGACAATAGTCACAGAAGAGGGTATCCTTCTCAGAAGGAGGACGGGAACTATGATCTCCATCTCTAGAGGGTGCAGAAACTAGGGCAGAGTGGTAAGAAGAGGTAGATGGAAGCATAGCAGAACGACGACTCTCCTCATTCTGCACATAAGCAAACGCTTCTTGGAGAGAAGGAAGTATATCCATACCAAGCACATGACTCCGAACAGGATCATACTCTACATTCAGACCTTCCAAAAACTTGAAAACCCGCACTTGTTCAACAAATTTCTAGTAACCAGCAGAATCAGTGGGATAGACCGCCTTGTAGTCTTGAAGATGATTAAGTCTCTTCCACCCATTGCTAAGAAAAGTGAAATATTAGAGGATAGCCATCTCACCCTGGACAGACCGGTCAATGGAGTGTCGCAACTCAAAAGTCTGTGAAAAATTGCCTTTGTGAGAATACGTAGTGGCCACAGCCTTCCAAATATCTTGGGCTGTGTCCATAGACAAGTATCCCTTACCAATCTCTGAAATCATGGAATGTATCAACCAACCAATGATAAGAGAATTGGTAATCTCCCACTGATCATAACCCGGATCTGTGGTACTGGGGGGCTGAACACGCCCATCAACATATCCCATCTTCCTTTTCCTCTTAAAAAAAAATAGTCAAACGCTGCGCCTATGCTAGATAATTCTGACCATTAAAGAGATGTGGTGATTTTCTGGCTAGAGTGGAGAGAATCTGTCATAGTAGGAGGCAAAACAGAACTCGCGCCTTGAGAAGCAGGTTGCGAAGTAGTAGACTCACTAGTCAATTCTGCCATGAATACTCTACTAAGGAACCCTCACAAACAAACATTGGTTTAATCACAAACCCAGAAGAGGGAAGAATACAATAACCAGAACCAAAAAAATAATAATTTAATAGTACATTTTTTTTCCCCTTTTTTTTTAGAACACAAAAAAGAAAAACAGAGAGACAGAAAAACAAAAAACAAATTACATAAAGAGAGAGAGATTAAAAGTTCACATCACCCCAGACCCACGAAAGAGAGAGCAGCAGCAACCCAGACCCACGAGAGATGGAGGCTTGATTGAACCAAGGCTTCTTAGAGTCTGTCGTCTGCCTGAGAAGGGAGGAACGACACCCATGACTGGCCCTCCAAACCTGCCGACAGACTTGGGCTGGGAAAAGAAGGCTCCAACGAGCCCTACGGTGCTGCCGAAGCCCTAGGGAGCTGTGACTAGGACTGCTAACAGCCTAGCTGACGACGACTGCTGACGTCGGAACCCTAGGGGGCTGCAGTTGGTGCTGTGGTGGTGAGACGGGGTTGCGGTGGTCCTGTGGTTGTGCGACTGGTGGCAGTGGCTGGTGTGATGGTGCTGTGGTTTCTAGGGTTTCAGAGAGGCTCTGATACCAGTTTATTTTGAGAAGAGAAAAATTAGAGGTATGAGTGGTATCTCATCCCCTTTAATATTAAATCATTAGCATAATTACAGGAGCATCTTAAGGTATAAATAAAGATAATATACATCAGGATGAAATAGGAAATATTTCTAACATTAAATCTCTTTGATGGAGGAACTAGTTCTGTGAAAACTTGATTTTGGAAAGGAGACGAACCCAACATGAATTTTAAAGAACTTGTCATAAGCTCTTAGGAAATGTTGGAAAAACTTCGTAGAAACACTTCTATCATAACTTTTTCTATTTTTATTGCATGCAAAGCTTATTTTTTAACAACAATTAGTTTTTTCATATATTGTTTAACATTTGTATTTTAATCGAGTATGAAAGTAGTCAAAGGCTTTATATTGTTATTTCAAGGCTTCTAAAATATTTGTTTTTACATATTCTACTCAATCCTATATGACCTGTCATTTCTAGTTTTCTACAATATTTTTTTAACCATTTTTCACATTTCTGTTTCCCGTATCTATTTCCCATAATGACAACTGTGATTTCAACTATCAGCATTAGGTGATTACTCCTTTACCTTTATAAGTCTGATGATTCACAAAAACGGTTGCATTCGTATCAATGCTGTTTCTGAAGAGCCTTCTAAAATAGTTAGGCAAACCATAATACTAATAAATGAATTTTGATGATACTGAAAGGTTGAAAAAGAAGACAGTGCAATTGCTTTTATCACTTCTTTATGTTTGTTTTGATTACATTGCCAATGGAACAAATTTTCTTACAGGCAGCAAGATATCATTCTTCTAGAAATAGAAATTGACATCTCAATAATTTTATTCATGTCAAAATGTGGTCATTTTTTGTCGGCCTTCTCATCTTTGCTGGGGTTATTGTTGGGATAGTTCCACATTCCAACTAAGCAAAATGATTTTACATTTATGTTCATTTACAATTGCTAGTTAATAAAAGTGATTCAAATTGTGGGATTCCTTCTGAGTAATTGACTTTTGAACAAGAATTAACGATGTGACTGCATGGTAATGGAATTATTTTAGTTGTATCTTAGCCTTACTGCAATGTCAGGCAAACCAGGAAACCAATAAATGTAAGCATGAGGTTTTTCTGTACATTTAAAATGTGAAGTTTAAAGACAGAAAAGGGATAATAAATTATTGTCCTTTTTCCCTTTTGATTGTTTTTTGTTCACTTGGATCCCATTCATTAATCACCTTAACAATTTCATCTCATTGGTGTATCTGTTTTCGGTTCATGCAGATTTTGATCCATCAGAGAATGGGAGTAATGCATCTGTATCAGGAAAGGGAAATACTATATCTGCAGGCGGTATAGTTGGAATTGTGGCTGGAGTAGTATTTGCTATCATCCTAATGCTGGGTATTCTTTGGTGGAAAGGATGTCTACAACACAATAATACGATGGAACATGGTAATTTAAAATCAACTATAGATAATTATGATAGTAATGATTATCATACTCACCATCAATGGTGTTTCTTTTTTTTTTTGGGGTGGGGAGTGGATAAAAATTCAATGTCTATTATGTTATTTACCCCAATAAGCACATTATGTAAACATGTCATGGTTCAATAATTTTTATTGTCCAGAACTTTTTTAGAATCCAAACGAGTGTTTGGTTCATTGGAATAAAGGTTGGAATGGAATTGTCATTTGATTAGAACATTCATTCCCATGTTTGGTTCGGTAAAAAGGAAAGAAATGTACATTCCAAATTGACTCATCATTCACCAATTTAGGAGAATGGTCATTCCATTGGGAGGTCGATGAATAGCCATTCCATTCCTGCCCAAAATCATCAAGTCTACCAAACACTACCTTAGGAATTAGGATTAATGCAATACAAGTTTGGTTTGCTCATTGTGGGAGTGCTTTATTTAGACAAAATTACGATGTCCAGGTCAAGTGGGACTTGTTGATTTCTCTGAGCTTAGAAGATGAAAAAGCAACGCCCAATTAGTACACATTAATGTGTGTTTGGGAGGGGAAAGATTGAGTACACACCTAACCTTTAGCATAATGCACAAAGTGGTGGCCCCAAGACTTGAAACCATTATTAGGATGATTTTTTTTTTTAATGCAAATTATTAGGAATGAGCCTCTTGACTTTATTGAATGTGCTTACTTATCTAGTTGAGCTTCTTCCACAGATCTGAAGGGTCTAGACCTACATACTGGTTCATTTACCTTAAGGCAAATTAAAGCTGCCACAAAGAATTTTGATGTTGCTAATAAGGTTGGAGAGGGTGGTTTTGGTTCGGTGTACAAGGTATCTTGTGGTAGATTTACTTTTTCCCTGGTGTTAATAGTAATTCAACTCTTCATAATTGACATTGTTTTGAAATGAAGGGCCTTTTATTGGATGGCACTGTGATTGCTGTGAAGCAGCTTTCTTCCAAATCAAAGCAAGGAAATCGCGAGTTTGTGAATGAGATAGGCATGATTTCTGCCTTACAACACCCTAATTTGGTAAAGCTCTATGGATGTTGCATTGAAGAAGATCAACTGTTGCTAGTATATGAGTACATGGAAAATAACAGCCTTGCTCGTGCTTTGTTTGGTAAATTTCAACCTCATGCTTCACTCTATTGCATGCTTTTGGTATTAGAAAATAAACACATATTTTAGCGTATTAATATTTTTGAGTTTTTAATCATTTGGCAATCTGAAGGACCTGAATGAAAGTAGTCAAAGGCTTTATATTGTTATTTCAGTGTGATTGATACACTAAGGCAAATGAAGTGTGATTGATACACTATATGAATGAGAACGCCCCATCATCCTATGATCGACTTATATACATTTATACATATATTCAAGCATACATTCAAGCATACATGCAATCATTCATTCATACATTTTATTCATTTATCAAATGTATTCTTTGTCAAATGACCTAACATCTATTTGAACAGTATAACTCGGCAATAAAAACTCTCATTCCTTCTACCGAAGACAATGAAAGTTTTGGGGCAATTGTGGGAGCCAGAAAAATATAGGTACTAGCTTATTGGGCCTAACCCAAACAAAGCCCACAATGGGTCCAGCCCAAACAAATATCACGCCCCCCCATCTATATAAAGGGGGGGCATCCCAAGTGGAAGGTATGTTCTCTTTGCCTACACTACACACCAATCACTATACTCTTTCTAGACTTTCATTCTGCTTAACAGAGGACTGACTTCACCATCGGAGTGCCTCCGGCCAGCTACCCCGGTTGGGTGGCGCCGATCATGCTCGTCTTTGTAGGTATACCAGGACCAAGTTCATCTCTTCGTTGGGTCTCTACAATCCATGTGGGAGGATATTTCATGGTCTCACACTGTGTTTGAGCTTGATCTCATGCATAAAAAAGTAAGGCAAAGGGTGTATAGTTTACTCACCCTTTGTGAAAGTATACCTTGGCCATTACAGGATCGAACTAAATTGCTTTTTTGGCATCAGCAACAGCTTCTGCTCATCGGATGCACAAAAATTGCAAGTCAATTTTAGAACCCGAAATCAAAATCGTAGCAAAAAATAAACATAGAGGCACATTTCCAATTAATACACCTACACATAGACGTTCTTATGGAAAGAACAATATCTCCAGAACAACAAAATAAAAGGATGAAGAATTAACATAAATCCACCAACAATATTTCCAGTTAATAAAACAATGCGGCACTAGATTTGTTTTAAAAATATGTACATATATATGTACACCGTAAATTACAGGCTAAAATATTTTCATATTATATAAACCCTAAGATTTGGCACTATTTTCTCTATATTTCTCATATTGCAACCTATTTTTTGCGTTTCAAAACCAAAACTCACAGAAGACAGAGGAATTACAGGATCGAGTCCAGTGGAGGAAGGAAGATTGATGAGAGACTGAAGGGAAGAGGGCAGCAACCAGAGATAAGGTAGCGACCAGAGAGAAGGACATGATTGGTGCGGCTCATGATCGGCTGTGCGAGAGACGAAGGGGCAGCGTTGTTCGAGGGAGTGTAGTCGGTGGCACTCTCTCTATAGTCGGCGATGCAGGAGAGCGAGAGGGAGAGGGAGAAAAGAAGACATAAAGGTCTTCAAATTGAGAATGAGATGGAGCTTCAAGGGTGAAAAAAATTTCTTTATTGATGGTCACTTATTTTGGCAATTAAAAATTATGGCAAATGCAAAACGGCGTAGTTTTGAAAAATTATTTATTGGCGACTAAAGTAATTAGGTCACCGTAAATATCATTTATATTTTCTGTGACTAAAAAATGGTTTTCTCCAAAAATAATACATTTGGCAGCTAAATGTTTTGTCGCCATATATTAATTTGGTCACAAAAACTTTTCCCTAACTCCCGCGCATAAATTTCACTTAGCGCCAAACTCAACAGCGACCAACAAAGTCAATTTGTCGCCAATAGTTTTGTTGAAATATATGGTCGCCAATTATGTACATTTGGCAACTAATTTCTGTTTTAGTTTCAAAAAAACGTCAGCAAAATTTTTTTTTGTTGTAATGGGCTGGTAAGTCAAGTTTCATAAAGTAGTAAGTAGAGTCTCATTGAACAGTAAGTGTGATTTTGATAAAGTAGTAAGTACAGTCTCATTAAATAGTAACTGTAGTTTAAATGAGTGTTAAGTCAAGTCTGATAAAATAGTAAATAGAGTCTTATTGAGTAATAAGTGTTGTTTAAATTACTAATAAGTCAAGTTTGTTAAAGTAGTAAGTAGAGTCTCATTGAGTAGTAAGTGTAATTCAAATAAGTGGTAAGTCAAGTCTGATAAAGTAGTAAGTACAGTGTTATTTAGTAATAAGTGTGGTTTAAATGAGTTTAATTACCATTCGAAAACACAACACTTGTCATTCCTTCTCATTCTACTTGCAACTCTTTGTGGCTCAACTCACCACTTACCATCCATTTTACCACCTAGTAAGGATCAAGTTTGTTAAAGTAGTAAGTAGAGTCTCATTGAGTAGTAAGTGTGATTCAAATGAGTGGTAAGTCAAGTTGATAAAGTAGTAAGTACAGTGTTATTTAGTAGTAAGTGTGGTTTAAATGAGTTTAATTACCATTCGAAAACACAACACTTGTCATTCCTTCTCATTCTACTTGCAACTCTTTGTGGCTCAACTCACCACTTACCATTCATTTTACCACCTAGTAAGTAGAGTCTCATTGAGTAGTAAGCGTGATTGGTAAGTCAAGTCTGATAAAGTAGTAAATACAGTCTTATTCAGTAGTAAGTGTGGTTTAAATGAGTTTAATTACCATTCAAAAATCAATCTTCATCCATCCGCTTAGTTAGCTTATGGGGAATGAGCCGACCATGTAGGTTGACGAGCGGATGAGGATTGATTTGACGGTTAGGCTCTATTACTTTGGACATTTTTCGTACTATTTTCTAATAGTTATTTACTATTTTGGGATAAAAGTTTTTAATCTTTATTTTTTTATAATAAAAAATAATGACAACTTTTATATTTCATAAATAGTTATAATTACTAATTAATAAAAGGTCATTTTATTAACATGTAAAGCATAAAGTATAGCATCATTTTGTAAAATGCCAACAAAAAATATAACAAACAAATTGTTATGTTTCAAAATATATAAAAAGACATAATTGTCAATGTATGTCTATTCATTTTCTTAAGTAAAAATTCATCACCAAATCTCTACCAAACAATGGGTACTCATAAATCGGGTGGCTTCCTATTCACCATCTATTTGAACTTAGGCATATTGAAAAAAATATATATTTGCATCCATTCACTCAGACCATTGAAATTGCTCATTTTGTAGCGAATTGGTGACAGGTTTAATGAATGCTTGCCTAGACCTAATTTCTATTATGGCTCTATAAATTGAGTATCATTGAGTTATAAGTAAGGTTTGATGTGATTTGAGAAGTTGGTTAAAAGCTGACTTTTTGGCTTTTTTATCCTTTTGTTTGTAAAAATATAAGAGGTGATGTAGCACAAAATAGGTTAAAAGCTAAAGAGTGCTGCTATTAGCATCCCATAAATTATTTTGGACCCTTAGTTCTTAGGTTTTTTTTTTTTTTTTTACAATAATAACCTCAAATAAAATTACTACAAAGAACATCATTAATTTTGGGGCACCTCGTCTCATAATTAAACTTACACACCTACTACATCATGAATTAGGGTTTATGAGAGCACCCACCTCCATTACCACTCATCCATCTTCTCCAAATCCCACATTCAAAACGTACCCACTCTTAAAACCTTGAAAACCCTTTGCCGGTAATATTTCGACGGTAACGGTGGCAACCATTTGATTACCTACACTTCTCCGGCAATGACAATGAGTAGAAGTTTTTTTAGCAACCATAACTCCATAAGACAAGAGGAGGTTCATAGCTTTGATATTGTTTTGAGCTAAGATGATATTAGCCTTGTCAGTGTAAGTTTCTTGAAAACAATGGCAAAAATAATAAAATATGTTCGTCATTTTTTCGGGATTGAACTCCCGAACATATGATTAAATTTAGGAACACAAGCCCGAACATTGTTTATTTGTTCGAGAATCGGTAACCGAACATTATTAATAGGTTCGGACCTGTTTTACTGAGAAAACTAAACCATTTCTTATAAAAAAAAAAATTGCAAGAGAATAAATTATTATGAGAAAACTAAGAAATTATGTGTATATATATATATAGAGAGAGAGAGAGAGCATACCAATTGCGACAATGGTGAATGAGGCAGCATAGACAGTAATCACATTACCTCTTCTTCTTCTTCTTTGTGGGCTTTGTTAGGTTTTTTTTTTTTTTTGGAAGTGAGGTTTCTTTGGGGTGTGGGGGTGTGGAATGTGTGCATTCAATGAGTGGAATGTTTTCATAAGCATAATTTTGATATTATTTGGGGGAAAAAGAAATTTTCAGGGTTTCAAAATTTATAAGTTGGGGTCCAAAGAAATAGGGAATCCAAAAAAATTCGTAGAGTGCTAATAGCATCACTCAAGCTAAACGCTAGTTTTTTATTTTTTTTTGGCTTCCCAAATGGTCCCTGAGTAGTAGTTAAATAAAGTAGTAAATGGAGTAATATTGAATAGTAAGTCAAGTCTGATAGTAAGTCGAATCCTATTAAGTAGTAAATGGAGTTTGATTGAATAATAAATCAAGTATAATGAATAGTACGTAAAATATTGTTGAGTATGATATAGGGGAAATTATTCAATAATCCCGGAACGCCACGTGGCCATAGTCCAAGCCAATCACCAATTACTTAGTCTCATGTTGTTCCCCCATCCCCAACATAAATCGTGGGCCCATACCCCTCTTTACCAATCAAAATCTTATGGAGCATCACATGTCCATACTCCGGGAATACTGAATAATCACCAATGATATGGACCTTTAGCAATTTCTTTATGGACCAGAGAAATTCTGTGGATTGAATTTTCTCTAGATCGATGTTGAGAAACCTTAGACATTATGAAAATATTGAGTGTCCTTTATACTATAAAATCTTGGGGATTTTTTTTAAGGTCCCTGGTATTAACATTTTAGAGTATAAAGGACACTCAATACTTTCATAATGTCTAAGGTCCCTCAACATCAATCTAGAGAAAATTAAGGCCAGAGAAAATTTGATCTAGAGAATTTCTCTGGACACATTACAGAGAAAATTTCAAATTGTTTTAGACACATCATAGAGAAAACTTTACACATC